CCCCGGCCGCCGCTCCCCGCGGAGCCGGCCGCTCCACACCCACCCCCGCCTCCGCGCTGCCTGGCTGTTGGTACGGTCCTAGCGGAACGCCCTCCCTGCGGCCAATCCCGGAGCGCACTCGGCGCAGCCCCGCCCCTGCTGCTGGTGGGCGGGACTACCGGGCAGCTCCGGGCCGCCCTCTTTAACCCCTTCACCCTCATGCCTGCTGCGCTGAGCTTTTCCGCGCCGTCAGAGGCTTTCTCCAAACCTGTTTACATAAACTAGCTCCTAGCTTCTCTCTTACCTTCACGATTTCTTTCCTGCAGTCATCTAGGTAAAGCTCTATTCGTAAGAAATAATTTTCTTTTGTCTTTCGCTCTTCTGCCTTGACTTCTTGGAGATTCTGCCCAAAAAGTGCCCTTCCCTGACCAAAAGAGGCCAGACTTCCCACCTTGGAAATCGCTCCAGCTTTGGTCCAGAGCAGAGCCCTCCCGCCCCAACACACACACACTGTTATCTTTTTAGTAGCTCTTCTTAAAATCCTGATTATTTTATTATAATAGCATTTTTTTTATGTTTGTGCCTTGCGGTGGACTGTAAGCCCTAAGAGGGCAAATCCGACCGTCTTGGTTTCCAGTGCCCTGCACTCACCCACTAGACTCCTGATGAGTGAATGAGACGCTCCTCCCCTTAGCGTGTGTTCACTCCACACACAATAGCTACTGTATAATGCATACATTTATTCACCATGTAGTCAGCTCGACCCTAAAATATTATGGTGTACGTTCTACATTGGATACGATTTGTGTGTGTGGGGGGGATGGGACTAAGCAGGAATTTCTTTCTTTCTTTTTTCTTTTTTTTTTCTTTTTGATTTTTCGAGGCAGGGTTTCTCTGTGTAGCCCTGGCTGTCCTGGAAGTCACTCTGTAGACCAGGCTGGCCTCGAACTCAGAAATCTGCCTGCCTCTGCCTCCCAAGTGCTGGGATTAAAGGCGTGCGCCACCACTGCCTGGCCAGTAATTTCTTTCAAGAAGGAAAGAAAAGATCTTTTTTTTTTCCTCTCTCCCTGGCTGTATGCTTTGGGTATGCCATATAATGCCTCTGAGTATAAGGCTCCTTGGAAAATGGAAGCTAAACACAGGATTGACAGGATTGTGGTGAGATTTAAGTAGGAAATGTGTGGAGAAAATAAATTAATGTGTGAAGTTAGTTGTGTGTGTGTGTGTGTGTGTGTGTGTGTGTAGCACTTTCAATCAGGAGACTCAGAGAAACTATTGGACTTGACACCCTACCCCAGACAACTTAGGGAGGGAAAGCAGCCTTAGTCACTGCTGGAAGCATTAATCACTGCACAGCATACAAAGGGGCAGTGCAGAAGGCACTGTGTCAGCCTTTTACTGGATGGAGTTGAAAAGGTTTGAGGTCATTATCTGACAGCAGAAAGCACAATTCTTGGGAGAATTGGCTGGATGGTAGTGAGAATCTGCCTTGTTGCTCAACAGGAACAGGGGCCTGCTTGCAGCCAGCCCTTCTTCCTGGACCAGAAAACCATGAAGCAAAAGAGGAAGTCAACAGTTCCTTTGAGACTGTAAGACTAACAGTGTTCCCGTCTTCTCTGTCATTCCAGTGACACTGAGGATGGACCCTGCCCCTGTCATTGCTCATCTGGAAGCCTAGCTCAGGGGAGATGATGCCCCTCTGTGTTGAAGGAGTCTCAGAGAAGGAGGGGTTTTGGTCCATGGAAGCAATCCATATTTCACATCCATCCCCCATACTGCAGTATTAACAGTTTTCTTCCTCAGAGGATTCAGAATCACTGTGTCAAAGGCTTTTACACAGAATTAATCTGTCTCCCAGTTTTCCCGTCACCAGGTTACATTATCCAGGTGTCCTACGACTGCGTACACAGCACCAGCACTGGGCCTGACACTCCATGACATCAGTTTTTGCCCCTCAGGGCCATGACAGCACTCACAGTCAGTATATTCTCAGTGTTGTGAGGGGTGTGGTCACTGAAGAAAGAAGCATACGTGATTAGGACACAGGAAGCCCCTTCGAGGACAAGACACCTAAACTGTGCAGCATAGATTCTGAATGTGAGTCTGGGGAGAGTGTGGACTAGTGTCGTCAGGGAGGAAGGACGGGAGTGAGCAAAATCTGAGTGGGAATGGAGGTTAACAATATCAACCCAAAGTTGTGCGGTGCTATGAGAAGTTATAGCCAATATCCTGGGCAGAGAACACAGGGGAGGTGTGTTCACTCACTCATTTGTACACTCATTTGTCTACCGAACACATGTCAAGTGCCAGGCATCAGACTAAACTGACTATTTGGAGATGAAGAGAGCCCCACCCCACAGAAGCTTTCAGGATCAGTGGAGCTCCTTTCAGAAGTCAGGGTACTGCAAGAGTTGTATTACTGTCCCCAGTCACGGGACGTGCTGTGGTTTTAAGTATCAAGCTAATCTTCTCTTGGCCTTTCTCTCCTCTGCCCCCAAACTTCAACGTCCTTAAAGCCACAAACTGTGACTTTATGTAACGGAGCACCTTTTCCAGGTACATGTGTGGCAGCTCATGGAGTTGAATCCAGAGTAGGAAACTGGCTGTCCCCCTCCCCTGAAGGTCAGTGGACCACCCTCGGCAGGGGAATATTAGTTATTAACCCAAGTGTGAAACACTACCAGAAGCTAGCCAGTGGCCTGCACAATTTACCAGGAACCTTCCTGCTTGGCATGTACAGTCCCAGCATACCTCCCTAGTGCAGTCCTTAACACACACCCCCCTCCACAGGGCTCACCAGCTTCGCCTCCCCTGACAGTGAGAGGCTCCTTCACTCAGCCTTAGGAGTCCTAAACAGCTCGCCTTGAGATCTTCCATGAGCTTTCCAGCTGTGCTTCCTTTCCTGACCCTCCTGGGAGCCCCGTGCTTTGGGTGGACCTCTCTGGTGGCACGGTTTATTGAGGCTTTGCAGGATACTGTTCCCACTAGTACAAAGCCTTTTAATGCCAAAGACAGTGTTGTACAGCAGCACAGGACATGGGTGTGTAGACATGCCCCTTGAAAGAGAAGCTCGAGGAAAATAGGTGCCACAGGACCAGGTGCCTACCCTTGCTTCCTAGATCACTTTAACCATTTTCTGAGAACTGCCTTAGAACTAAGCCTCGGTCAATCTGTTAAGTCCCAGGCCTCCAGCAAATGCAAAGTATTAGGAAACCACTTCCTCTCAGCTCCTGAACACACAAAGGCTACACACATTGTTTCTTTGAACCTATGTAATACACCCATCATGATGGATCCCCCTGAAACTGATTAAGTGACATCTACATCAAACAAGTTAGGGGGTGGCTCAGAAAACTCCTCCTTAAAGCCGGGGGAGAGAGTGGTAAGTAAGTTGAGGTGGCCATGAAGCACATATACATGCCTTGCCATCTCCTGCCAGGAGCAAGAGCTCACCCTCAGCTGCCTCTGGGAAGTCTTGCTCTCTGCAAGAAGGCTCTTCATAGACAGTAGCTTCTGCCTTTCTTTCCCAATAGAATAATTAGCTTTCTTTCATTTTGCTATCAGCTCTGCCAAGTTGTCCCCAGCCCTCTCCTTTCTGATGGCAGTGGACTGCCCAACTAACCCTTCACAGGGCACCTCTGCCAATAGATCTGAGCAAGTCATTCAGGTCCCAGGGCAGCAGCATGCACGGCCTACACACACACAGGCAGACAGCTTTTTTCCTGAGACAGTCAGGCCACATGTTCTGAAAGTGGCAGAAATCTTCCTGTCATTTTTTTCTACTCTTGTAATATTTTTTAGAGTTGTTTTATTGAGATATAACATACATCTCATGATTCACTAGTTTAGAGCATAGGATTCGCTGTCTTAGTGTGTTTACAGAGTTGAGGCAGAGTTATTATACCTGAATTTTAAAGTATTATCATCACTCCCAAGATAGTATGGACCATTTTCTCTCACTGTAAAATCTATTTGGGTCTATTTTTAAAGTCTGCATATTAAAGTAAAACAAAAAAAAAAGGAAAAACAATAATAAGAAAGTCTTCTGGTTAGGGAGAACCCTGAGGCTTAGCTGTCACAGCGGTGATTCCCTTAATTGTCCTGTGTGGCAACAACTG